TGTTCTCGGATGAGTTAGGGAGCGGAGCTTTGAATCACGCGTGCCTCCAACGCCCAGCCCCCCGAGTCACTTGAGATCGATTAAAGTATTCGTCGCGCGCGTTGGTCATCCAGACCGAAGGACGATTCTTCCGAGAACATCATCGGCATTTTTTTTCTTTTTTTTTTTTTTTTTTACGTCATCGTTCTACATACGCCATCATATAACTCGTCATCAATTTACGCATGCAAAGAACTGCCCTGCAATACATTTAAATCCACGCGACTGAACAGTGGCTGTACGGCGTGTGGAAGCAGATGCCGAAGCGGGTGACGAGACTCGTGTGTGTCTTGTGGGTCGGCGTCACTCGAACTAATCGCCGATGGCAACTGATTCGCACTGTGTGTACTTATAAATATTATACAGCAGCTGAATTATCGAGAGCTCCGGTGGGACGGTTTGTTTCGCGTAAGACGTTGTTGCGATTCCTCGCTTTCTTTCTTTTTTTTTTTTTTTCATAATTTTTAGCGTATGCGTAATCTTTGATCACGCCAAAAGATGCACTCGTAGCGTAAGTATGTTATAGGGAAAAACCGTAAAGTGACCGGTTCGTTTATGTACGGCAAGTAAAAATTCAACGAATTCACGCTCCAGTTCCCGAACATCACCACGCACGCTGCAGTCGACCCGCGATTCATACGCGGATCGGCTGGAATTGCAGCTCGAGCCGATGTATTAGGGCCAATCGAGCATCGCGCCATTACCATACGTCTTTTCAAACGCGTGCCTCCGACATTGTTGTCGCTCATGGTACAACATTTACATTGTGTCCTGTATATACTGTAGAAGAACCCTTTAAACCCTCGATTGATACCTCACTTTATTTTTTCTCGCCTTTTTCGAGAAAAAAACAGGGCCACTCGTAAGCATGCCGATCACCAGTAGCTGCAGCCAAGTAAAGTGTCCAATGCGTGTACAATACAAAGAGAGGCGAGTGGCACGCATCGGCCGAGCGACAGATCTCGTGTTTGTTTTTTCCTCGTCGTCGACGATGACGGCGTTGCTTTCAGAATCGCATCCACGTATGGGTACATTAAAGCGGCGACGTAGACATGAGATGATTCAAATTTTTATCGTACATGTCTCTTGCAACTATACGCTCTTCGATAGCACGCGCTCTGCGAGTGCACGCTTCCAGTACTTACGTGTTGGGTGCACGAGGTGGACACACGCTTTTCGTGGTACACACAGAGACCGGCAACTCGTTGCGATCGGGTCTCTCTTTCTATTTTCGTTGATGAGACGGAATGCGCGATGACTAAGAATCACCCCCCCCCCCCTATCCACGCTTGGATGCTGATGATGATGATGTTATGTACTGCAGGTTCCACTGGTATACATGATATGTGCCACGAGTGCTCGCGCCGATCGAAGATTTATATGTTCTCGTACGACAAGTCAGTCTACGCGCCTTGGGAATTTACTCAGTCTCGTGTAAATTTACACGTTTGGAGAAAGTGACTTTTCCATGCTCCAAGGGATGTTTGTGGCTGTTGTAGAGACTCGTCGTCGAGGCGTCGTAAAGAGGGAATCCCTCCACCCAGCCAATAAAATTTCAATGCGAGAAAATTCTGCGTCACAAACGCGTATACAACATGTTTCACGCGCCATTGCTAAAAATATGTTACAAAAGAGAGAGGAGCGAGAAAAGAAGCGTCCTCGCAACAGGTTCTTATCGGTCGGCGGCGCGAAAGATGGACCCCCCCTGATGGGGAGAGGAGTACTCACTTATGCGTCGAGTGTTCGTGACTTATCGGACGAGTGGAGGAAAAGAGATGGATAGAGAGAGAGAGAGAGAGAGAGAGAGAGATACAATAAAAGAGCTGAGCGGGAATGACGCGTCGCGAGTCTCGTCACGGGCGCGTGTAATTGAGCCATCAGAGCTGCATCGACGACAATCAGGGTCGAGACCAGAGATGTGCATATACATTCATACGTACACGTTTTATACCTCGACGGTATATAGGCACGTGCAGTGTACGTGGTGCATTGAACAATATATACCTTATACATACATTTGTACGCGATACGAGCTCTCTAATCTCTTTTCCCTTGCTCCCCTTTCGCTCTGGATCACCGTATTGTACTGTTTTCCCTCGTGCCGATCGTGTCCGAGTGCCAAGGCTCTTGATCTTGAATTTCGCCGACAGCTCGACAAAAGATTAACTTTAAGGGATATATGTATATACACATAGGCGCTACGAGTCTCATTGCGGGGATCGGTATTGCGCACTTTTGCGGCTACCAAAACATCGGTAAGGGAAAACTTGAATTATGAAGAAACAAAAAAATGTATCCATAAACGAAAACAGCGCCTGTAATACGTTGCACTCGAGGTTGCACTTGTGTTACGCCTTGCGTTAGCTGTCAGGGAAAAAGCGACCCGATCGACGCACACGCTCATATATAGCCATTGGCGTCCTTTCCTCCATACCCCATGGGTACACTTACATACCTATATACCCCGAGGTAATGGACATGGATTTGGTCTTACGGTTAACGCTTGGCTAGCCAGCGCTTCTCCCCGTACACATAGGCGCAGCTTTGCACGCACACGTGTGCGCCTTTCCTCGCGACTGACCACAGCCACATAGGTATACAGGAATGGTAAGGTTGTTGCAGCGTTGGAGAAAGGAGAGAGAGAGAGAGAGGAATAAAAGAGGAGGTTCAGGTATAAACATATGAGTATCGGTATATACGAGAGATGGAGAGGGGTGGCGCGGCGCAACTCCTCGTGCAATGGATGCAAGATATAACGTGGTCGAGGTGAACCAATGCCTAGACCATTCGGTGCACTCGTGGATATATAACGCAAGAACTTGCATATGTAACTTGTATGAGTACATGTGTGTGTAGGTACACGTTAATGCGCCTTTATACGTAGACGCGAGCTCGTGAAACAAAATGCACGTTACGCTTGATTTTGTGCAATGTTTCTTTCGTTTAATTTTTTTTTTCCTCTTTCGAGATAATGATGTTTCGTTTGTATGATTTTGTATGATTTTACCATCCCTACTCAAGTACCTATGAGGTAAAAAAAAAAAAAAAAATGCTATCTAGTATTTAATTAGGATGACAGAGCACGAGTTCGCGGCAAACTTTCATCGCGTTTGAACAAACTCGCGCAGGTACAGCCTCTTTCAACCCAACTCTGTGGCATCACAAATGCCTACATATGTATGTACTTACAGGCGACTAATGTATAATTACAAAGGCCTCGTCTTCTTTTGGCGGCACCAGACGTGCAATTATACAATTTTCTTGTGCGTGGGCGCTTGGATGTGTGCTCTCGTGGGCTACGAGGACGCAGGCACTTTTTTTTTTTTTTCGTAATGTAGCTCTTTTGCCCGCACCTACGTTACACACGCCGTGAGAAAGGAGAAGTTGGCGCGTCAATTAGGCACGACTGCTCCACAGGAGCGCCTTGTGTTTTCACCGCACAGCAAAAAGTCTGACGCGTTTTGTCTCGTGGGTTTCGCATGTTAATTGACGGTCCCAACCAATTTATTGAGTTTTCCTTTAATCCATTAAAACAGGACAATTAGGCGTTTCGAAATACTTGGATCAAAACACTATTAGTATCGTATCACATGATGAATGTTACGATTGATTCGACTAAAGTAAAAAGTGTCAACGCAACGATATGGGCTTCAAAGTTGAGTTCACGATCGATTTTTCAGAGCGATTTTCTTGATCATTGGTGTATTTGAGTAAGTATTCGTCTTGCAATACTAAATCGATGATTCTATAATAAAGTAAAACTCCAATCTCCAACGATATTTAAGTACCAAGAACACATTTTTTTCAAGGTTTGCTTTTTTAACACGGATATCGAGGTGATTGAAAACCAATGTATCTCTTTCGTAATCATCGTGGCATCGTATGTAATGACATACAATCTGTCAATTACATTGAACTGCAATATTTTGTGTAACTTGGCATCAAAGCAAGCTGAGGGGTTTTTTTTTTTTTTTTTCTCCACCCGAGGATCGAGGTAATTGTGAGGCTTAATCTCCTCCACTAGTTCGGTGTCATCTGATTTTTTGAAATTTTAATACTAAGGAATAACAATTTAAACAAGAAATAAGAAGCAAATCAAATTGCTTGTAAGTAAGGTGAGACTTAATTATTAAAGATAATCGAGTACGAAATTGACCAATTGATTTGGAAATTTCTAGTCGCAGACCAGGTTTAAGTACACCACATAAAAGTTTTTCGATCCGATTTACAGGTACTGAGACGTATTTTGAGCCCAAGTAGGTAAGTATATTACATTATCGCTCGGAGCAGAAAGTGTGCATAGCGTCACCACAACTGTATAGCTGCTTACTGCAAAATTGTGATGTATGTAAATAAACAGATATCGCGAAAACTAAGCCTCCCACCACCACAGAGTAGACACACATGTGTGTATTAAATTGTACCTACACACGACGAGACGAGAGAGAGTCCTGTTAGGTGTACTCGAACGAAAGATAGGCCACCACCGCTCACGAAAATTAAGGCCGCGATAATTTTTTGATACGAACGGGAGGGGGGGCGGGGGATTTTAAATGCCGCGGTTGTGGCATAATTTACGAGCAGATATAGTGGGAAATTGTAATTGAGCAAGTGTTGTTGCGTCTAAAAATATATTCGCGCGAGCGCTCGTGCCTCTCCAACGGCGATCAGTAACGTCGCACGGACGGTGAAAACGGAGACGGGTAAGTAAGTAATGTTTTTACCCGAGACTCGAGCCGAGCATTGTTATTTGTTTCCCTTATCGCGCTGCGAAGACTTATCAGATGTCTTACCGCTCTCTCTTATCGGGAATGATTTTTTCTTTTATTCCAATACCAACAACAAATAATTCCGCAAGCGTATACGCTCGTGAATTTTTACGCAGAAGGGAGGGAAAAAAAAATCATCAGCACCCAAATTGTCTTTGGAAATCATAAGCAGCACCAGTACAGGTACGTTACCTCTTTCTTCGTAGACGGCTAGGGCGAGGGAAGCCATGGCCAGCACTGCGAGCAACAGGTAGTGGCGCGTCCCCATGGCCGGCGGCATCGTCGAGCTCTTGGAGATTTCAACCAACTACGAGGATGTGTCAGCTGCTACGCGACGTATAGGTAGAGCACGCGGCAAGCAAGGGCCTCACGATCTCGGCGCCTCGGAGACGAGCCTGGCGTAACGATCTACCTGCCGGCAGCACATATCGCGACGACTGATCGGACACACAGATATAAATATATATATATATATATTATACAGGCACACTGGTTTTTTTCCCTTTTTTTTACGCAATGACGATATTATTATTATTACTACTTGAAGGCACACACTCGCGGACACTGATTTACCGAGTAAACTGTACTTTTATACTTGAAAAAGTGCACCTGTTCGATCGAGCCACTCGATCTTTTTCACTCTCGCGTTTGCATCACTTTGGAGCACACAACGTACACCTAAGCTGGCACGTGCAACGCCGTTGGTGCAGCAATCTGTACATGAGCACCGATCTATGTAACGATCCTTGGCCGATCCGTTTTTGTTCGTCTCTACGCACAGGTGTATATATATTTATAGCACCTGTTTCGCTGGCAACTGTTGCAGCACAGATTATATTATTCTCTCCTCGCCGGGAGACAGAAAGAACAGGAGGCAGGTAAAAAATAAAGAGCTGCTCCGTCGATACGTATACCTATACGCGCTCTTTTGTTTACCTTTCACCGCAGCGCGTATATATATATATGTATATAGCGCCAAGAGTCTCGGGCCGAGCTGCGAGTCACTTCCGTCTCGGCTCCGTAAGCTCCGACTCCATAAATCCGCGAGGATTTCCAGCTGCGTGGGTGTATTATAACAATCCTTGTTGCTCTTTCTGGTGCAGCGCCACTATCCTGTTTGCGTATAACGTTGTAGCTACCGATATCGTGGTCACAAAAGGCACACGCAACTTATACATACGATGTATGTATTATATCGTCCTCCCACGCGTATTACCAGCCGCTCTCTTGGACGGTATACAAGGGTATGCGGCTCCCTTACCTGCGCTGCGACTGCTATGGTAGCTTGGTGGGTGATGTATATATATATATATATATAAAGGCACACTTGTGTTGTGACTTCAGATCGGTATTGCCGTGACACTGTGAAACGGAGCACACTCGCGAACCCGAAGGATCGGCCGCACTTGCGATGCAGGTATACGTATCGTATACTTTCACACACTGGCGCTGCAATGTTTGTCGCGACGACGATTCACACGGTAAGTATCCCTCTTTTTTACTTATCCTTAAAGTTGAGTGGAAAATTCTCGTTTGAGGGGGAGGGGGGGGGGGCACACAAAAAACAACGCGATTTTTGTAAAACGATATGCGAACAACGCGATCAACGCACGCACGTACGTATACGCACGTACGGATACGTATCGGACCTTACTCTTGCGCCGTTCGAGCGAAGAATACGCGCCGTGGTCGCATTAGCCGCGGAGTGGGCCCCCAGTGGCAGTCCCTCCAAAGAACCAGAGCTTCGGCTCGGTATCGCTGCGCGCCGCCACCGGAGCGAGAGGCATATAAGAGCATTGCCGTATACATATATATATATAATGTCTGTGAACGGTGATGTGACGGTGTGCCATTTTTTTCCTTCCCTCCTGTTTCGTTTGCTGCAAGTTCACGTCTCGAGCTCTCGGGAGGATATAGGTATTGAATTTTACACTACTACATACGAAAAGATGCCATGCAAAGAAAGAGCGTCCCTTTTCATTCGTCCTCGCCCGCACTACCTTACGGACGCGCGTCTTTGGAAGAGGTCTCTTACACTCTCCTCTCGTGCAGTGGAACAGGACTTGTATATATATACACCCATACACAGGAGCAGTGCATCCTTGTTTGCTCCCTCTCTGCAGCGCGTACAGGTATATACACACGGGTGTGCGGTCTTTTGTGCTCTTCCCTTTTTTTTTTTTTCTCCTTTCCGATGGCCAGTGCCGGCCCATTCAATTTGTTGCCTCAAATGAATTCTTAAAATGACATTCATCCCGACGTAAATACTCACCTGGCACTTTTGCCTCCCGACAGTTGACTTTTCATCCTTCTTTCTTTCTTTCTTTCTTTCCTTCTGTCTCTTTCGCGGGTCCGTATGTGGACAATAAAAAAACGGTTCTCACTTTCAGATCCCAAAAGCTCTCGAGCCAAAATTTATCGAGACGAAAGAGTGTGTGTGTTTTTAAAAATTTTTTTTTTCCAAAAGTGCCCTCGTTTTTTTCTGGTACGCATCCCAGAGGGGTGGGTTACGACTGCGGTTGCTCACTTGACGCGCCAATTTCTCCAGCTTGACTCCGATCCGAGGATCTCGCTTGACAAAGGCACCAAAGAGCAAAAAAAAAAAAAAAAATAAATTTCACATTTAAAAGCTTCCTCCTCCCCTCCGTTATACTACGACACGCGGGGGGAGAGAGCATCGCCCGCGCGAGAAAGCGAGTTTTTTTCCCTTCTTCGACGAACGGCATCTCGAGCCATTGGCTGACAGTGCATCCTATCTGCGTGTATATGGCACTGCTCTCGACTCGCGGTGATTATTTCTCCCGAGCCTCCATACAGTGAATCAATAACCATAGGATTGGATCACCAGATACAGCTGTTTCTACTAGATGTGGCTACTTTCCCAAACGGCTCATTCGAAATCGTTTTTCACTCCGTTTGACGGTGTATCGCATTCGTTTGGTGCCAGCAGCCAATCTCCTCGAATCCGAATCCTAGTTCCAATAAACTTTGATCAATCAAAACATGCTGTACTACCCACGCAAGTCGCATTATCCAAGCGTGGTGCATCATACTAACGAAGCGCCTTCGGTAGCTGGGCTCCTCAAGCCGGTGGATACACACGGAGGGGGGAGGAAAACGCGCTTGCCGAGGCGACTTCTTCAGGGAGGAGGAGTCCGGTGGGTATATTCCTCGAAGCGTCGCTTGTCGTTCTTTTTCCACGCGGCCATTCTCCGGCTTAGTCGTCGATGGGGGGCAAAAATCGCAACGAACCGACACGGCCAACTGGTTTCTCGCTCGAGTGCACACACGTATGGATAAACGCATACGTCGACTTTCTATACCCGCACGGATATGTGTGATGATACCACGGGCAAAGTCCGGTATCCATATACGGCCGATATCGGTATAAAATAAGCTACGTACGCAACATCCCTCGGCTCAACCGGGGACGAGGATTGGCGACTTTATGGCTGTACCTACACTGCGAGGACATCTATACGAGAGTCCTCTGAAAAAGAGCTCCGTACGAAGCTTTCAATGATCGAAAGGGCTCCTTGTTTTGTAAAAAGCCTCTCCACTGGAAAAAAAGCTCGTACACATTAGTCGTTAGACCACGCGCTCGCAAGCAATTATAGGTGCAGCGTGTCAACTTACGGTTTTATTCATGCGATCGTGTTTGCGTTCAGCGGCGCGTAATTACACTTTGTCGAGTTTAATTAGCGGGCAGCGAGCGGCTCGTTCGATCGGTATAAATTATCGGGTTAGCCCCGTTGAATTATGCATCGCGTGCGACTCTGCGCGTAATTTTCGTTTAATCGGCAATTGATAATACAACGAGGACGAAAATACTTTCATTGTATGCCGATGAGGGGCGATGCGAAAATTGATAAACAATTTCATGTCGAATATTTTTTTTTCCGGGTCAAGAATCGAATGAAAAAAAAAAATAAAAAAAATAAAAAATACCGCACAGACGCATACCAAGCTATCTCGATGTGTGAAATAACAGACGATTGCCAGCAAAAAACGGTACGATCTGTTTTTCATCCCAGCCTCTAGCGAAAGCAAATGTTCGCAGGCGTTCCCACACTTGTTGCTTCGGGATGTACTCCCTGTAATGTGTTGCGTTACCAAGGGAATTTCGGGTGGCGCTTTTTTGCCGATGCCCCAGCCAAATGTCAGCCACGAGTGTTGAAAAACGTGTGAGCCGACACGTGAGTTTTTTTTTTTGAGACAAGTACAAGGCGGTGATGGTTTTTGCGCGTTGAGTAATTGAGTGATTAATAGCTCCAAGTCCACTGAACGAATCGTTGCGGTGTTTTGTTTTTATTGTCGGTGTGGCAAAATCGAGAAAACTCACGACTTCTTTCTAATTACATCGATGGAAGAAAAAGGTATTGGAAGGAATGGGGTAAAATAATACGCAAACTGCCAGCCATCGCTTTTTTTCACGACTGTTTATTACAAATAACAGGATGACGTGATTATCTCAGTGTGCACACGTGTTCATTTATTTTGTATACTTATGGTATTTTTTAAGCTCCATCTATAAGACATGGGTTTCGACGAGCACTCGAATTTTTCACGCAAAGCCGATCATCGTCAAATTCGAGGGCGTGCCTTTATCTTATTTCGCTAAATGTGTCAACGCTGTGGCTGCTTATTTTTTAATATATATATTTTTTTTTTATGATTATTTTACTTAGCATTTCACTTTGCTGTAGCTGCTGATCATCAACAGTATTATTGTTATTATCAGCGTGTGCAGTCCGACCGTAAAAACTTGTTCAAAATGAATGAAATAAAAAAAAATTAAAAAAATTCAAAGTGTTTGATTGCAAACGTATGTGGAAAATTCACGCCTTATACATAGCTCACATGTACAGTATGGTAAAAAGTTCAAGGGACACGCATAAGACAGCGAAACTTAAAAGTTGTAAATGCCTCGGCAAATCGCAGCAAATACAAATGAATGTTCAAGTATAATATTCGATAGATTTTATCGATTGGTCTTCGGAACGAGGTTTGTCAATCGGTAAAAATCTCATCATTGTTGATCGTACATTTTTGTTATTTACACGCTCCAATTTTGTTACGCGAGTTATTCAGGGAAAGTGGCCTCGTTCCCCTTTTCTACTATTTCATCCTTACGCAATATACATTATGTGTGAACATACAAGATACACGTTTGTTTGTTTGTTTGTTGTTTTTTTTTTGGTTTGCGTGTGGGCGTTCGAGTAGATTATGTTATGTATACATATATAAATAGAGCGCTTGCACATGGCTAGCCAACACGTAGCTCGGGATGTCGGGTAAAGGAGTCGAGCGACAAACTTTCGATTAGGTTTCTATACATGGTTGGTACTCCAAATACGCTCGTTTGTGTGTTTTACAGCGATGGCCTGGCTTCTTGATCAATCACGACAGCTGTCACATTATACCATATACTTTTTTTTTTTTTTTTTTTTTTTTTTTAACATTTTTTCAGCGTAAAAATTAACCACGAATAATACAGCTCGTTGAACATTATGTACGTGTGAGAACACAGATTTCTTTCAAGTACAAAGAATAAAGAATACCCGTGAACTACATGCATGACATTCAAGTTTCACAAAAATGGTACTCTGAGAGAAAAAACATCACCAATACTTGGAGGATTTTTGTGAAAATTTGATACACATTTTGTGGGATTCCAGGAACGAATGTTTTTGCACTCATCGTTCTTAGATTAAGAAAAAAAATTTTGTTTCATTTATTGATAGTGATGAAGTATATATTACTGTCATGAATTTGCACACATATAAATATTCAGGGATCACATCTGAATACAAATAATTTATCTTATCAATGTATAATATTTTCAATAATTCATGTACTAGGTTTATGCAAACAATACTTTATGCGCAAATTAATCACTCAATCATCACGTAATCCTATACCTTCATTTAGACTGTTGCATCTTTGCTCGCTCTGCCTAAATAAATATATATATAATTTACGTCATATTTATACATTTACTTATTTTTTTCTCAGTTTAGTCCGTAAACTTTATATTCTTACTGTAGATGTCTTAAAAATTATTTATGTGTCAGTATTATGCTTGCGTAATTTCGTGACAGCTCTTCACTTTCTTAATTCACTAGGACACCTTCGGAATAATAATGAATCTTCCAATTGTACAGATAAAATTTTTATTAAAGTAACCGATGTTTTTACCCAAAGGCAAAAAAAAATTAAAATTTAGAATCATGATGATTAAAGTGAGCACCTTTTTCGCAAAGATTATTGTACTTTTCACAAGCAATTACAAAATTAATAAGGTTTAATGATTTGCTCTTTAGATTGATATAGTAGAATGCAGCGTACAAAAAATTAAAGGGTAGCGATAACATATGTATTATTATGATGATTAGTTACGTGAAAAAACTCTCGACGATGACTTTTCCAAGCTACACGCACGCATTTTTCTCTTGTCTTATGTAGCAGGCACATTTTTTTTCTTTATATCAATAATCATATCACTTGCTAGAGGCTTGGGAAGCTCCGGGGTGAGATACATCCAACCACCAGGCTGTGTGTGTATATTTTTTAATTCTACCCGGTCGCGCAAGCAACTTTTTCATTTATTATTTTTTTTTCATCCTTTTTCCATTATATATCCGTAGCCTAATTATAGCTAAATCCTTCGCGCTAAGTGTTTCGATATCTAAGCTCTTTCTCAAATCTATTTATCTTTTGCCAGCTCGGTTTTTCGAAAATATGGAGAATTGAAGGTCACAGATGATGATGATGACGTTGGTTTTAGATGTGGTTGCGTATGTACATGCCAACGTACCATTTATTCTTATTTGTTTCTTCTTACTTTCGATGAACGATTTTTATTTTCCTTCATCTGGCTACCTTGATTAGAACGTTTTCGTTATCCAGGCAAATGTCACTAAACGCTTACTTTAGAATTTGCAAAAATTATCAATTTATGTTAAATAAATATTGATTTGATTCGTTCAATGTACAAATTTATAAAAATGCCAATTCGACGCGACTGTGAGTACGCGTCGGATACAAAATTTTAAAAAACAACTCCATTCTTTGTCAGTTTTCAAGATTTTTGTATTCAAGTTTCTTAAAATCTAGCTTTAATATGTATACCAACGAATACTTGAATTTAATTTTTAGTCAGATCATGCGATATCATTGTCATATTACACAATACAAATAATCAATTCACAATCGCGTTTGTAACAATAAATTAGCACTAACAAATGCTTTTCGCGAAAAATGATAAACATTCAAGAAATTTAATATTCCCGGCACTTCGATTGCGCTTATCACTTTCTCGTTTGCTATGTAATCCCTATAAAATCTGATAGTTACGTATTCAAGTATAAATATAATCCATCGCCTAGGCAAAATAATGATACGCGCAATACCATACTTTATTTTTTTTTGTTCTTCTTACACATTTTATATATTTTATCTCTATATCTGCAATGCTCTACGTTAATACATATAAGTAGGCGCTTTCGGACCCTCACTTTTCCTTTCTACACGTAAATATTATAGGCCAGTGTCGCATTTTTGTGAGCAGTTAACTCCTATTCGGTTAATTCCTCAGCATAAGACCGTCGTTTAATTTTATCACTTTGCTCAAAGCATCCTTAACGCAGGAAAGCTAATGTGTCTCAGGAACCAGCTAATTTACTTTTTGGTACAACTATGTATACGGCTACGTATTTTACTGCTCGGGAAAAACATTGGGTATGAAAAGCTGATTCAAGATACATTTACGATTGCTCAGTACCGGTAATCCAAAATTTTTAACAAACTAGATGAGTTATGATGACAAAAGTGAATCATATCTAAGATGATTAGTTTTTTTGTAACATGCGAATGTAATGTTTTGCATTGATGAAGATGATGTACTACGAAAAGTCATGTGATGAAGGTAGATAGTAGATATCAGATTTACATTAATCTGCTTGGATATGCTGGGTATTATTTATTAACTAGCATTAGTCATTTTACCACATATTATATGATATGATTCACTGTACTCAAGCTTTTTGTGATTTCGTACGAACATTTCTGAAAGAAAAGTCTTTTGAAGTTTTGCAAAATCATTTTTGGGTAACATTTAAGGTTATGTTGTCTACTTATTTAACAAATTTTAAATAAACTTTTCATAACTTAATGACTACAACTAGTGTTACTTCAAGGAAAACAAACAACGAAGGACTTTTTTGTCTGATTTGTTGCGAAAAACTGCGTCTTAAGATCTCTGTATTTTTTTTGTCTAGAGATTAAGTAGAAACACTAATTTATTTGTTGCTCATTCTTAAATCGATTTGAGCCTCTTTTTTTCACACTGCCATAAGAGAAACTAAAATTTATTTCTTTAGCTCACATAAGTGGGTAATTAATTATTGAACTACAAACAATTTGCGTCTACCTCTTACAAATGAATTTAAAATATTACGGTTAATTAATGTCTGCATTTTTATAACGAGTAGTGAAATGCAAAAATACATTTCTTATATTGAACTTAATGACATTTATGCGTAATGTATATAGTACAAAAAACATCGAGTTAAAAACTGTAACAAATAATTTTGTGTCAAAAAACAACATTTTAAAATCAATACAATTACCTTCCAGAAATTGATATGTGAAATATATTTGATATTAAAAAACATATCAGCTCGTGTTGCAATTCCAATAATTAACGAATGCAAGTTTGTTTTTACACAGAAAGCAGTATTTTTTGTGAACATATCTTCTACATCAATTATATGACTATGATGATTTCTGCTTGAATTCGTTGCTGCATAAAATACTTTATCATTTATATTTTAGCTGCAAAGTTTCTTGACATTTCTTAAATTTCTGCTTTGTTTTAAAATCCTGGTGAAGAACAATGATCCAACTCACACTTATTTTTTAAATAATATTATAATCATTAGTATACTTGCGAACTCGACAATAACAAAAAAAAATGAAGTTTTATTGGTTGTTTGAAGAAAGATCAAGAGAGTAATGTTTTTGACTCGAAATACTGACAGTGAAAAAGCTTGAAACCATGACCTTCCCTCAAACGATTTGCAATAAAAATTTAACTCATACAAATAAAATACACTCACTATTTTATTTACCTATTTTTAAAACACTATACCTGTAGGAAAAGCCTAATGAAATAATAAATAACTACAAGCTAAACTAAAAACGAATGTGTCTGGATTCGCAAGTGGCGTCGTCTTCATTCTATTAAAAATAATTTTCTGGTGTATCATCACCTCCGTTCCAATAAATTCGCCCACAAATGCAGAAGAGACGATAATTTCTTTTTCCCTCACTTGACGTTATTTATTTAGCCCGACCAGCAGAAATAAATCTTAGCTTAACAGGCAACAGCCTCCGGCAATGGATTTTCAGTGATGTGGATGGTGGTGGTCGGCCAATCTATTTTCTTGGCGCAGATGAAATTCAGACCCTCGGTCGAAGCACGTCTGTAGTCCGCCATCTTTAACGGCGAGAGGGGTGCAACTGCAATAGAAATTTGTACATGGGCATAATGAACGAATTTCCGATAAGCTATCGCACTCTTTTGTTTTACTTTAGCGAAGATATGAAATAATACTTAGGCACATCTTTCTTGCTAGACGAATAAAGTTGGAGAAAATATTGCGGTTGTCAGTGACACTTCCAGATTTAGGAAGGGTTTCTATTTAAAATTGACATGAAGTTAATGTGAAATTTTTTAAATGCTCATAATTGTCTGAACTGTCAATATTTTGACCAACGTACTCTTATCAAGTTTTGATGAATTATTTTTTTTTGCTCTGTCCACTAACGCAACAAAATTTCTGATTTTATTGATCTAAACGTGTCAGTAGTAGAAAATATAACAAATTTTTTGTTGAGTTATATTTGATAGATGCTGCGATCGGCACGAAGCGTGTACATGTTATATTAGTACGTACACCACAAAACAAAAGAAAAAAAAACATAAGAAAACAAAAATTAAACTCAAGCGTACATGCAAAGTAAAGAAAGAAGTTGAATGCGTGTGTTCAGTGGTCTGTTTGTGTGCAAGAAATAGCAAGCCATAGAGTGTAAGTCACACAATGTATCAGAGTATACACTACGTTCTACCCGGTGTAATTTGTAGTCCTTTTTTTTCAATTGTTTGTAACAAAAAAATATCAACAATTCCAAAACTTAGATATATATGGAAATGGTCCTACCGCGATAACTGAGAGCCGCTACGAACATAAAAAAATTATGTACAGTATGTTCATATTGTTCATATATTAAAATTAAAATTTTAAACATTTTTTTTTAAAACATGGGAACAGGAAGATAAGGAAACAAATTATTATTAGAATTACTCAATAATTTGATACAAAGGAGGTGGATCAGGATTACCATTTGTATGCTTCTTGTTCATGTCTTTGATTTACCTTCTATCGGTACTCAAGAGTATATTACATAATATATACATATATGGTCTGATTAAATCTTACCCGCAGAAAAAATGAACAACTTCTCTCTACCGGTAATATTGATTTATCACAAAAGTTGATAATATAATCATAATATTTTTTTTAGTTATGAGTCTTAACAAATTCAGAAGATATCAACACAGATTTTAGAAGCTGTCAGTATGTAAGTACGGTGTAATACTTATATCAGACTGGTGAGCTAAATTTTTGATAGAAAATCTTGAGTAGAAAGAAGATTTCTGCTTAGCAAAAGACCACGTGCAAAAAGTGCTGTACAACTTGTGTTAAAAAATATGGTTCAGTTGTTATTTAATATTATACAAAGACAATTATATATATTTTTTAACAAAAGCTACATACATTTAAATTAACACTCACAAACACCAGATATAAATACAAATGGCTATTTAGTTAAAAGCTTAAAAGACACAACAATTGTACAAGTTACGAATATTAACTATTAAACTGAACAGGGAATGAAACAAATATATTAATGTAACAGAAAATTGTATGAAAAGAGGACAGTTGTAAGTTAGTAATGACGTTAGTGAAAATAATATTTTAATGCGTAATATTTTAGGTATATCTGAATGAGGTAAAAGTAGTTTAAAGGTTTCTTGAAATGCGACCTTCTGATTCCACATAATTATTAATTAATTTTTAACAATGCTGTAAAATTGTGCATTCAAGCTGAGTAAAAGAAAAGGTAAGGATAAGTCCGATTGTTATTTAAAGTTAAAATTATGTTTTAATTGTTAGTTTACTAGACAAAAACGGTAAAGAAAAATATCGCATGAAATACGTTAGTTACAAATATTTGCGGTTAATCTCGAACGTTAGTTTTGTTACTTCCCGAAAATATTTTGTAATCCGACTTACTTAACGCTTAGACGTGGATTAATTGACCGACACAGCGCGTTCGACTCCTTTTGCGGCCTCAATTCCTAATTACAATTACCTTCGGGTGTTGTAGGCGTCGTGGTCTTCCCCGGGGATCTCACCACTAAAACGCAGAAGAAACAAAAACACGTTTTATTCACAGAATTTTAAAAGATACTGCGGAGGTGAAACTTTTTCAATTAATCATCAAGTTTAATGTGCATATATTATTCTATCTTATTATTAATTCCAAGTGCAAATTTGAAATTAAATAGCTAGTTATGTTACTTATTATGTACCGAACTATATTTGATATCTGTATTATTTACGCATTGAATCATTTTTCAAAAAAAGAAGGAAAATATTTACTAATTTTCATTCAAAAAAGGCAATCTTTATAATAGCAAAAATAAGAAAAATTTAAACTTTTGCTCATTATAGTTGCTTTAAGAATATTTATAATGATTCTACTAATAACTATTAAATACTATAGTCTCTTAGCTTCTTTATTTGACGCGTAAAGTCGCGGAAAAAAGATTAAAAAAAAAAAAAAAAAAAAAAAAAAAAAAACAAGTAATTGACGAAAAAAACGTTGAAGAAACTAGCAAATAAGCCGAAAGGAATACAAAACTACAGACTTGAATATGAATTTTAATACATACCACTCGATCAATCCGAGACGCGTGGGAAATAAAGGCTCAAATCGGTGAATAAGAACTTTTTTTCTATTTTTGTTGTTTTGAAATTATGAAAGTTTATGGATATGACGGATGAATGAAGTGTTACTATGTACGACAATAATGAAGTTCAGAGACGAATAGTTTGGTAAATGATGTCATTATGTTTGTTTATTATTTATTTATAGATGAGTAACTTAACAAACAAAAGTTTCGTTAGAATCACGGTCGAATTTTAGAATGATAATTAGGAAAAATGTACCATTGCATTTTTCATCAAGTTCAAAAAAATAAGAAATTTAACTTAAAAAACTCAGCTCAACGAGGAAATAAAATAATTATCAGTCTAAAATTCAAGCCCAATATTTATTAGTTCATTTATACAAGATAAATTTTAAATATTTTCTAGTTGAAATGACAGTAACGATAAGACCATGAAAAGAATTAATTATGCTAACAATATGAGTCTTCAATAACAGTCATAATAATAACTCTGGGAGGATTAACATTTCTTCACATCCTACAAGAAATGTAAATTCAACAGTTAACATAAGTGACTAAAAAAAATTACTAAAAACAATTCTGGTTTGTCATTTAAGTTTAAAATACACATTTAATAAATTAAAATTACTCTCAACAATTACAAGAACATCGTGTCTTTCAAAAACTGAAACAAATGCTAAGTGATGAAAAATTAAGTATGTAGTAATCTCTCGAAACTGTGAAAAACGGACCGTATTTTCGGTAGTTCACTCTCTCATTTGCGTCGATGTATAGTTTACTGTGACAGAAGCGTATTATAGTGTACAGTGACAAGTGCGGGTGTGTTTTCTGTGACCAAAAAGCCAAACAGAACAACAAACGCTGCCTAAGACAGTAGATAGATTATTTTTGTTATAGTTATTATTTTTGATGCCGACATTCTCATTGTCATTGTATCATTTTTTTTTTTTTTTTTTTTTTTTTGATCGATCTAACTCAATTTTAACTCCGAAATTTTATTTAGCGTATTGTATTTTCACCAAGTAGTTTGAACAAGTCGTTTTGTTAACTACTGTTTGGTATTAATGTGTGTACGTGCAATCTAAAATTTTTATACTCTCACATCGTAGTTTTTATGGCTTTTGAGTATCTCAAAGATTTATACATCTATATTGATGTAGTATGTAACCTTGACATAATTGTCGTTGAGTCTTTTAAACCTCAAGTAGAAAATAAAACTCCTTACGACCGTAATGTTGATAAATAACTTTATTTCAGCAAAATTTTTACTTGAAAATTACATTATCAACTGTATTGTAAAAAAATTATGTTTATTTTGTATGATTGAAGACAATAAAATACAATATTTTAGATTGCACCGTACACCTACAATATATCTAAATGTCGTCTAGACACGAAGAACATTTTGAAAATAGATTAGATAACGCGTAACAACACTTTGGTTTCATTTTTCTTACTTTTAATTAATTAATTTTTCTTTGTTTTTTTTAACGTTAATAAACATCTCAATAAATGCATCATGCATGTTTTTGTTTATATTTTTTTTTCTTCTATAAACTACGACCGTAGGCCAATACAAGATCGATGCAGTGATTCAAATGGATACCAATCAACAGTGAAACGTTCGGTTATCATTTTTTGTTCTTGTTATTAATTCCTTAATGAGATCTAGTGTCAAGCGGCAGATTTCGTGACGCTTCCACGCTGAAGTATTTTTTTATTTTTATTATTTATCACCGATTTCTTTCGATACAGCCGACGAAGAAAATTATTCGAAGCATACATCAGTCCAATTGGAGTAATTTCTAACAAGAGCTGGAAGCGCCTCTGAGATCTGCCGACGACTTGTGTTCACAATCATTAGACTTTCGCGAATTCATAGAATAGTAGGTTCGATCGTTATCAATAATTATCAATTAGTATCAATATTTCCTTTGAATTTAACGTCTTTGACGCGAGATAATGCGAAAATCAGTAATGTGATGAGATTCGTGGTGATAATAATCATAGATACTCGATTCTTATACAATTTGCTTGCTCTAAGATTTCGCTCAGTATACTCGGCGCGCCGCTCACTTACCATATCCTTCACCCTGCAGGAACAGCCGAAAGGCTTCGCTTACTTTGCCCGGTTGCTCTTCCAAAACCATGCCGCAGTCTGAGATCTGAAACAGCCACGAGAGCACGTGGACCACCACACCCAATTCGTCAATAAAAAAAAAAAAAAAAGAATATTTTTTTCACCCTCCCGTCGAAAAGTGTCGGAGTTGAAATTTAATTTAGAATTTAAAAAAGAAAAAAATACAAATTTTTTCGTGCTGAGCAAATTCCAGTCCCTTTTAATTTTCAATGAAAAATCATAAAGCTAATGAATAAAAAACAAACAATGGATTGAAGCTTCCATTAAAGTTTGAGATGTAGTTCTTTCGACGAGAGTAATTTTCCTTTGGATGAAACTCTTCTCCGTCAATCGCCACACTTTTCGCGAAAGAGCGCTACGACAAGAAAGTAGTAGAGCCGTACCTTCATCCACGAGCTGTTGGTGGGATCGAGGCGCCCATTGAGCGTGACCGTGTCGTCGACGTGGGGGCTGAGGGAGCCCGTGATGTTCATCACCGGCACGTTGAGGGTCGAGCTGTCCTTCTTACGCGTCGGGTCGAGCTCTCGAGTTATGTTGAGGTCCGTACGGCGCACGTAGCTGTCGATCAACAGCGCGAGGTTTGTCGGGTTCACCCGGCGCTCGAAGTAGTTCTTGTAGACCTGCACGAGATCGTGGTTCCTCTCCTCGGTGCCCTGCAATTTTCCAAAATAAAAGTCTCAACCCTCCATCCACCCCTAACAGGCGTATTTGCACGGCCCGCGTGACACTGTTTCAAAGGGCCTCCCGGAAAGTGAGTTTCAGTTTCAAAGGTGACGCACGGCAATGCCTCGTTCATGCAACTCTCGAATAGCAGTAGTTTGTTGTGGGGGTACAGCCTATATGTGACACTCTCGATCCGAATTGAAGCATCTCGAAGGGACGCAACCCCCCCGTGTAAAACTAACTCGCACATCCGAGTGCCAACCTTGCCGGTGTCGACGCCGCGCTAATCCAATTTTCGATGTGGAAAGGAGGCTCGAGCCTAACTAGAGCGCGAGATCGGCAAGTGCTTCGATAACTCGCGGGCGCGCGCATAAGCTTTTCAACCCCGAAAGGCTCGGGGACCACTCGAGCGAACTATCTCCGGCTTCCGCCTCTCCTCGGACGTGTTAGCGTCTAGATTGATGCGCGCGAATTCCAGCTTCCATTCTTCCCCGCCCCTTTTGAGCTGCATGCCTCGCACGAGTGATATCAATTAATTTCGGTGCTCTCTCGAGCGTCCTCGACCCCCTTTTATTTTCACCCCGAGATCTCCTAATTAAGTCGAGAGGGGAACAAAAAGAGATAAACCACGGATAAGGGAGACTGCAGGCTCAACTTTTGTCTTTTTCTTTGTCTGTTCTCCTTTGTACCGCGAGATGATAAAAGTTTCCACCAACCCAATCTCGGATGTGGGTGGTTTAGCAATAAACAGAGCCATTACGTGATTGGGTTGCCGTTTGTGTTTCCCATTGTGCGAAAAAGTCCAGCCTCGGTCGGGCTAAATGTCTTGGGTAAAGTGCTGGCTTACCCTGCCGAAGTGGTGCCACATGAGGTAGTCGAGAACCCCCTGGGTCATGCCCTGGGAGCGCAAGTGGCGGCAATTGAGCTTCTGGTAGCCCCATTCTATCCAGCCGGCTTGCGTGGACACGCAATTGATGAGACAGAGGGCGTTGACCTTCTCGGGATGCGCCAGGGCGAAGCGGGCGAGGATGTTAGCGCCGGCACCGACGCCGAATCCGATCGCGCTTTTTAGCCCAAAGTGCCCCATCACGAACAGCAGCTGCTCGCCCAGTTCCTCCATGGATGGGTACACGTAGCTGCAAACGGTCGATTATAATTTTTTTATTACAGTTACTTTGTGAGCTACATTGTGTTTTTTGTTTCATCGATGATTTGATGGGATTTATTGCATATTTTAACTTGTTTAGAGGTGCTGTGTAGCTGATTACTTCTATACCAAAGATTTATGGTCAAAATTAAAATGCCATGATTAAATTGATGATTTTAATTGTATTTTTGCGGAAGAAGAAAAAAGATACCAGCTACTAGACCGTGAATGGAGAAAGGGAGTGCGGCTCGTACGTTAACAAGAGCTATTTCCGTTTACTCGTACAGAAATAGAAGAAGAAGAAGAAGAAGAAGAAGAAGTGCACTAGAGGGGATAATCGATGACGAGTAGGAAGTTGAAAAAATTTGCTTGCGAGCTGCGCACTCGCCAATGCAAATGTTTGCTCGAGACGCTTGCACACTCCATTGATAATTGAATCCTTTAGCCAAGCATTTGCTCTTCTTTGCACCTACGCGGCGGGATGTTAATTTTACGACTTTGGGGGTTGCTTACTTTACTGTCGAAGAACATTGTCTACACCGAATGGACGTTTATTGGATTACGACTCGGATTACCGCATCTCGAGTTCATGTCCAAAATTACATGATAATTGAAAAAAAAAAATGCATAAAAAAATACATCGTAAGGGACGAATTAGTGGACAAGATTTATCGATTTATGGATGGATCAACGAGAGGAGGGGGAAAGAGAGACCGGAGGAGTTTTTCGCGGCAAAGAAGCGAGTTTGGCACGCGATCCAGAAAGTGGCAGAGCACCTAGCATGCAAATCTGCAATGCGGTCGAAGTCGTTTTGCACGTGTGTGTGTGTGGGTTACATAGGCGCTGTCAAAACCAATTTCCGATGCTACTCTTTACGAGAAATCTTTTTTTTTTTTCTTGTTAATAACAGGGAATAACTTGCGATCCGTAACAGCAAAATTTTCTTTGATCTTCAATTTTTGTTATTTCATAGGGTTATTATACAATCGGTTCTTGTTTGTACAATCAAAACCCTGATATTTCGCAATTTCACGGTGATGTAAGGCAAAAAGGAACTTTTAACGAAATTGCATCGGAAAAACTTTTCTATGGACTCCAGAATCAAATCCACACACGCGCGCTCGGCCACTGGAAGTTGGACAAAAGCGCTAAAAACGTGTTCCACTCTATTCCCAGTACTGCAACCTTCTATACGCCGGTAAATTAAAAAAGTTGCAAAAACGACTCAATTACTTTTTTTTTGCCCTCCTACAGTTTGCTGGATAATTCTTTTCTTTTTTGCATTCGTGGTTCTGTATTATTTTATTTTTTTAGTTCACGATGAAACGAGTCCTTGACAGCGAAATCACCATTCACGTGTAGCGAGCCTAATAGCCGAGTATTATTAATTTTTACTGAAAATAAACGCAAACGAGGGATGTTGCAATTTCCATTCGATTATAGCTACACACTGCATTCCTCGATAAAGACAACAATTTAGCAGCACCTGGAGTGTAGCATTTCACGTCAGCCACAAATGCCAGTGACAGCAGTACTTGCTGTATTTAAGTGCTCGCGAGCGAAAAAGGGGGAAATAAGAACTACGTGGCCTGCAATTAAGAGATTTTAATTAGCAAAAAAAGTTCATGCATCTGTACGAGTTAAAGAGACATGGAAAAAATAAGCATTAATGAAACCCTTACTCTTCGGGTAATGTTGGGGCGCCCTCCTCCTGGCCTGGAGCGTTCACGTGGTAGACGCAGAAATTTTCCAGGAGCACTCGCATGTCAATGTAGTTAAAGAATGCCTGGAAGCTCGAGATATCTGAAAAAATAGGAATATTCGTGTCAAAAACTACAAGTGCTGCGAACAAGCAGTGAAAGGTTTATCTGCGTGGCCCTAATTGGTGATCTCGAAACTCTTCTTTTTTTTTTTACTCTCGAATAAACAAAAATAAAAAAAAAGTAAAAAATAGGTCACTTTCCAACTTTTCGATTAAATTATAGATAAAACGCGGTAAATCTCGATTTCTAAGTCCGCGATGTATGTAACCGCAGCAAAGTCCAGGGATGGTCGTCGATCTCGTTTCAAAGGGGGACAAGAACTACGTACCACGTCCGTGGCATTTTAATTTTTCGATAAAAGATGAGGGCGGCCGACATTCACGAAAGCCCAGGACGACATCGGACATAATTTGCTTGCCCTCGAAAAGTCGGCGTTTGCGAGAGAGGGAGCTCATTGGCTCGGCTCCAACTCGACGTCGCGCACTTAATTACGAGATCCGACTCAAGTATGACACAGTGTCGCCTATCGATTCGCCGCCACCTTCCTTATCACTGTACGCTCTCGTGTGCAATAAAAGGTACTTATTCATTCATTTACAGGTGTATGCATAGACTTGGGCCAAGTCGCCATCGGTATTTATGAGGGGGTTGTCTCAAAGAAACAAAATAATTAGTAATCGTTTGTGTGAACGTATTAAAATTTCAGACCTCCTGGATTCACCATTTTTATAAAGTTACACATCTAACACGTACTCTGATGGAAAAGAGAGTTCTGTAATGAGTGTGACTATGCAAAGACAACAACTCTTCAATAAAAGTATACGTGTTGAATAAATGATTGTTTCTATGAAAACGGTAAAGCTTGAGTTGGTGTCTAAAATTTTTAAATGTTACTGTGAATACTACTGTTAAGTAAAAAAATTTTTTTAAGGTATTCCTAAATCTTGTATTTTACAAGCCCTTACGACAATCAGAATGCAAATGATTTAGATAAATTTTTATAATACGCCTCGTAATTTATTCGAAGATAAAAAGTATTTTTAAGTGACACACGTAAACACGAAAAGTATGTCCTTTACGATGTGTCAATACCACTTTATGCACAAAGAAACAAACTCAAGGAGCTTTTATTTATCCTCAAGATATTCCAGTTGTTGAGGTATAGCATTTATTTATGAAAGCAGAAGGACATCGAAGATACTTATTTTTTTGTTCAAGAGATTTGACTTTCCCATACACCGAATGCCATCCCTCTTCCTCAACTCAAATTGCATTGTGAAACGCGTGAATTTTTCATGTTTTTTTTACAATTTTTAAGAGTTTACGTTAAATGTTTTTTTAAAACATAACAGTATTAACGTAATTTAACTTTTACGTTAAAACAAAGGTAATTGAAAAATATGACGCTTGAAACGAAGTAGTTAAGCTTTTTGAATCAAACCCAAACTTTATAAATTTATTTGGCATAAAACATACGTACAAGTGATTGACTTTTATGTTTATTCGAATAAATTAGTGTTTTATTGTAACAAAATAATCAAGTGACCATAGCTTACTATTAAGTGTCTTTCTGGACTTAATCAATAGTTTTCAAAAATGTTTGGTTTCTGTAAATCCCTGATTAAAATCCACGCGCTTCGTCATTGTCAAAATGCACAATGTGCGTGATGTCTACGCTCAATCTCCCTGCAAGCTCTTCACCATTCAATCGTAACAGAGGCATTGCCGTTCTGGCATTGATATAAAAAGTAGGAGAAAAAGCTTTGCATCCTCAGATTAAAAGTATGAAGTGAATGAAAAGTTATATTTTGCCCGCAATAGAAGATAAGGTTGACTTTCCGACAGATAGGTACTACGGACATAAAACATATTGTGTGGTTTAATGGTTGGTTAAATATGTCACAACTTACAGTTAAGGCCAAGATCGTGATACGTGAGAATGGCTGGCTTCGCCCGGTTCCCTTGAACGGCGACGATAAGCGCGCCCCTGTCGGTCTCGACCCTTTCCTCCCGGACGGAGCCGTCGTCCCTCGTGAGGTACCTCAACGTGGGGAACTGCAGCTGAATGTTCTTCAGCTCGATGTCGTCCATACTGGCGTCCGATGGCATCGCGCTGCACAAGGTTAGGTTTCAAAATTAATAAATTAGCCCTAGTTACCACTCATTCACAATATTATTAATTTGTTTTTACATGATAATTATTTTTCTCTCCTCATAGTTACTCCGGGTAACAGGGGGAGGAGTCATCCTCCCTTTGGCCGATGGGTTATAATTAACAGTTGGGTCAGTTGGACGCTTTTAGTCTCGCGCGACGCAGAATAATTGGATTGCGCAATGCTTTTACGTGTCAATTATATTTTAATTGATCCACGAAGCAGCAGCCCTTACAATGGGCTGTGGCGGAAGGATTCCTTTTGCGTTTCATGAGACTTTTTTGCCCCCTGGGGTCGGAAACTGGGCGCGGCAAAGTGCCCTTACATATGTACTTCAACTACGGTACCGCCGAGTCAAAAGCACTTCTGAACTGTGCAGAGTGTCGTTTAAAATTAATTTACAATGGTTTCAAAGCCCACCCCGATTGTGCAAGTTGAAATAATGAGGAGGACGAGAGTTTCGTCGAGCTAATTTTACAAAGTGAGCTCGTTGAGTATTTGTTATTCCGAAAACTGGCTGATGTTACGAGCTACTTCGTGATTGTAGAATATTCCAAAAGTTCCTTGGTATACATATCTACGTATATTATATACTTTGTAGTTTGGGGAACTGATATCGTCCTTACGCAAACTTTCCGGTGCAATCGATACTTTTAATTAAGCCCTACGTCATTGGAGATCTATGCTGCTTTCGAGAAAAGCTTCAAAAAGCACTCGCATTTTGTTAAACAGGCAAGATCGTTAGTGACGTGAAAAATAAAAAATTAATCACAAAGAGAGGATCCTACACAAATATTTCGTAATAATGAACTGAGAGAAAAAAGAGACAGTAATTTTAAAAAAAAGTGCGCTACGTCACAATCGCGAGCTGCCGACGGGAAGCAATGACCCCGTGAAACACGTTTCCAGCACGTTTGTGTCGAAAGTTTATTATTGACCGACACGGGGCTCCCTTCGCGAGGTAGTAAGACTCTTTAAATCCAGATACAGGGGAAATACAGGCACTTCCGCATGGCTCGCACAAAAGAGCGAAAGTCGTTAGGCTAACCGAGCAAGAATAAATCCCTACGTCCCGTCAATAGTCCTAAATACCGTCCAGATCTTAACGTCGGGCATCAGCTTTCCCCCCCCCCCAATGTTTCGCGAAGCCACAAATTTTCCAAGGTGATTTCAATGAAACTGTCAACCACCTCTTGCCAAGCTTTCTCGATTTTTCGCAAAATCCAGGCTAATCGATGGGCGCACTCTATCCAGCAGCCCTCTATCTCTCACAGCTTGTATCGTCGTCATCGCCATCAGCACCGGCCGGCGACACGCTCATCCGGACCCCTAATACGTTTTTGATGGGGTAGTTTCGCGGCAAATGGGAAGGAGAAGCGGCAGGGAAATGGCATTTGGACGGGCGTCGACGCGTAATACGGCAGCAAACGCGACCCCGTCGGCGACGCTTCAATTATCCTCTCCCCCCGGAAATCCTCGCACAGCTCGCGGACGCCCAATTATATTCCGGTAAACTGGTGCACACCGAGGACTGGCGAAGGAGGGGGCGAAAGCTGGGGTAATTCGATTGTTGTCGCGACGCCGTGGCGGCATGGTATGGAGGACGAAAAAGTGTGCAACCCCCGCGGATGAAGGGTTCAACGTGCTCGCACGGGTGACACAGAGTCCGGCCTCACTCGCCAGTGCAGCGATTTATCGAAAAAACGATGGATGCACAACACATGAAGGAGTAATATAGGATCGTACGCGACGCGGAAATTAACTGTCCTCCCCTCATCGACCGACGGTGTCCAAGTACGTGTGGATCATCTTAATACGTGCAATCTCCCTTTGTGGAAAAACTGGAAAAAGTGTATTGGTAGAAAAAAGCTCCGCACGGGCACACACGTGTACGTAAATCAATGATAAAAATCCACGACTTTGATTCCGTCACGCTCTCCGTGGTATGCACCTCCGGAGTTCTCTGAAAATACAGCTGGGGCTAAAAATATCGCTCGGCCTCAGCTGTTACACCCCCGGACTCGGTACTACCCCGCATCTATAGATCCGTGTACGGTTTGGAACTGCAATAGAAGGAAAAGCTTCCGCGATGGGCACAAGAGCTTGCACCCTAAAAGCTAAAATTCCCCGGGGCGAAGAGTCGCTCGCGGCTGGATAAAAGAGGATAAAGCTACGTAATCCTCGGTCCTCTCTCTCCCTCTCTGGGGGTGATTTGACCCAGCAGCTGTTGGATATTACACTCTCTGCTGGCGGTGGTGTATACGTTGCAGTGCGGCAGTGGTTGTTGTAGGTACAGCGGCCCACACGAGGAGGCCCATCGATCGGACCGAGGCCACGCCCCGCGCTCTGCCGACTCCCTCCTCGCGATACGGGTAGTGTTTGTCTTGTTGCCGTGCTGATCTTACCACTGCTGCTGGCGTACCGGTAGCTACGACTCATCTCTATACTTCTTGAGCGAGAGGAGTGCAGTAGGGGCATTTACCTATATATATACTTACGGAGCCCACGGTTGATGGATCGGGCCGCGACGCGACGCCAGACCGACGTCACGGAACAAGGATGAGAGTCAAACTTGGTGCGAGGACGGTGTGTTATAGCGGCAGGAAACTTATCCATCGACTGCAGACACCGTACAGACACGGCATAACGCGTGGCTCGATGAGAAAACGATGACGTTTTTTTTTTTTTTAGATATAGACAGCTTTTTTGCCACCGTGACTGCGCTTGTTTTTTCTTTACCTGAATTCATGAACCCAATACATTTAGCATACGCAGGGGCAGTTTTTTTCGTTTTACCTCGATCACCGGAGAAACGGGGACCATTTGTCGTTAAAGCTTTTTATGTTTACGACAGTGAGAACAGTAGCGTTTGGCAGGACGACTTTACGACTCTGGGAACTTGATTAGTGGGCTTGTAACCCAATTAGCGTAGAAAATATACCTAATGTGCAAAGTCAAGAGCTGGACAAAGATTCCGTCGAACCGTCGGTACATGCCCAGCACAGCCGAGTTCAAAGTGAATTAGGTACCGGTAAGGAGGAAGATTGAGGCCGTCCTGCCGAAAAACGAGGGGAGCTTGTGGCATAATTGGAGAAGACGCGATCAACTCTCGAGTCTAAGCTCCAGCGCCTTTAATATTTCAATGTCTGACTCTCATCGCGATCCTCGCTGACCTCAAACCCTGTACTTTAGTCCTTGAAGGGTATTCATGTTTCACCTGGAATTTGATACTCGATCATCTCGATTAAAAAAAAATTTTAATTTTTTTTTAATCCTCAGAGTGGGATCGTAAACGTGTACTCCCATGATTTTCCCGCCGCGACGCGGATGAAGTATCAAGTTTCGGCATAACGAGAAAAACCCGTGGGTAACGCGGAGCCCGATAAACCTCAAGCTAGACCACGAAACTTTGTAAACTTTATTTCGTGCATCTTGGGTATCCCGTGCAATCTAATACGTTTTCCCATCTCCCTCGGCATCCAATCCCGAGATGTCTCGGCCTTTTTTCCCGGACCACTCCAAATCTTTGAATTCAATCCCTGCTCGCCGTCCCTTGGTCTCTCCGCAACCTCATGGTGCGTTTACACGGTGCGATAAGCCTCCCTCGACTCTGATAAATCGAAACAGACCGTCTGTCGTGGATGGAGGAAAAAAGGAGTAACGTGGTCGTACCCTGCGCGATCGATTTGCCCATTCGCTGGCCCCTTTGCTCGTGTGGCGAGCTTTCAATTACATCCGATACGAGTAAACCTCGTTTTGAGCCACGGGGTCGTTTGGTGCTGCTGTGATTTGTGGGCTTATTCGAGGAGTAGACCTATTTTCCACGTCGTTGCCGGTTAATTTGACGTTTTCTGTTGGGCAGAGCTCCAATGGGTATTTACGGCCACATACGCGTGGTATCGAGCGGAAATGATTTACTAAGCTTCGTTCTTTTTTTTTTAATTTTCAAAAGCTCGGTGTGCTGTCGACCATCCAGTAAATGCGCGAGTAAAACGAGGAGAGGCCGGTCGCGTGAGCGCATCGTCCGCAAAGTGCCGATTTTAAGATAACTTTGGTGAACCGAGTTACACGTGCACACGCCTAGGAGCGATCATTTCCCCGCTTTACGGCAGTCCGGATTAGATCTGCTCAATTTTGAAACCTCCGTGTAACCAACGAGGCCCGCGAAGGTCACGCGATCAATAAGTTCTCTCGACGCTTGACATTTGCGTAATCGTTCGTATTGGCGCTTTTTTTTTTTTTTTTATCGAGCGAGGGGAAAGCTAACATCGGTCTCGCTCCTCCTACATTGACTTTCGTCGTTTCTAATGCGTACGCTTAGCTGCTGCTTGAAATTTTACAAGTGTTCTTAGAATGTCAAAAAAGTGTACTTTAACCGATTAACTGATACAAATGTTTCTCCAATTATTTACTTCTGGTTTTGCAATAGGTTTCTTTACCTAAATTTAATCGTGGTCAGATTTCTTTTTTCGTATTTTCAATAATAGTTGCTGCACATTTTGAATATTTCATCGAGATATACCTTGTGATTTCGAAGACTGTGATCCTTGCACGCAAAAGAGCGTAATCCATGGTACCTGTAAAACTCCAATCGCCTCGATTTAAATTCTCACTTCTGATATTGATTTCAGTTGAAATATTGTTTTCTGCCATCAAATAGACGATGACTTGTGCTGATTGATAAAGAAACGTAGTTGAACCTTGCAAGATGATGGATTAAAAAAATATTCGACCAGCAAGCAATTGCTTAGCTCTCCTTTCCTTCTCGTCCGTCAAATTGAATTCACGACGTGGCCATGCTCGTTGCACGCTCGTCTGCGCGAAATCGAGGTGATAAACCTATCGTACCTTTACCGTGTACGGCTCTTAGGAGGCTCCTGCGATACGTGTTGTTTTACTTCAAGGGTCATTAACAAGCTCAAGAGCTCGCGCGCTTCGCTGCCAAGTTTGTTGTTTACAA